GATCATCCACATTTTTAACCTTTACATTATTTACATTATTCGGACTGTTATCCTCATCTTCATTGCCATATTCACGACGTTTCGGTCATTGTACGATCCGGTCTTCTTCAGGTGATTGAAATTTCTAACTAAAACCTTTATTCCGTCCACCGTTGTGAATATGATGCAAGTAATCATAATACCTCATCTCAGGGATATAGAGGCCGAAACGTGGTGAATATGAGAATAAAGATGAGGATAACAATCCGAATAATGCAAATAATGCAAGTAATCATAATGCCTCATCTCAGAGATATAGACAGATTTTAGTATATATTATATAAAAGACTCAAACACTAATATTCCATGGTTAAAATTTATTACGTTGGTATCGTAATTACGATCCAATTCATCAGGTTTGACGAATTGCATCGTGTTTGAGCCTTTTATATTATATTCTTGCTCTATCCTGGACATTGAGCTCTACCTGGATTCTATCCTCTTGGAAATATATATATATATATATATATATATATATATATATATATATATATATATATGTGTGTGTGTGTGTGTGTGTGTGTTTGTTTGTAAAAAACAATAGGAAAACTAATAGTTGCCGACGCGTTTCGTCCAACGTGGCCTTTCCAGGGCGAAACTAAATGAATTTATTAAACACAATTACTAATGATAACAAAACAAAACAAAACGAAACGAAACGAATGCACTAGTCATACATAGAAATAAATTCAACCACAATTTTGATTTTAAAAATGCTACACTCCTAAAATAGAAAGTAACTCACTCAGAAAGAAAATCCTCGAGAGTGCCGCCATTGAATATTACCCAAATATTAATCTACGCCCATGCTTTTCCCCTATTTCACCTTTCTTAACAGAATTACTTCTCTCCCAAACACACGTAAAGAACAGTATCAAGAAATAAAAAAAAAATGGTTGAATCCGTCAACATAGCAAAAACAATATCCCACACGTGACAGTAATTGACGTAATTTCAGTTAACAGTATGAAAATAGCGTACTCTAAATTCTTCCAGTTATTAAGGACATTTTGTTTTGTTATTATTAGTTACTTTGTTTAATCAATTCGTTTCGTTTCGTCTTGAAAAAGTCCACGTCGGAAGAAACGCGTCGGAAACTACTACAGTTTTCCTCTTGTCATTTATATTTATAAATATTGTCTTTTTCTACAGGTTAACTCTGAGAAATTTTCATATATATATATATATATATATATATATATATATATATATATATATATATATATATATATATTGACCACTAATATTATAGATAGATAGATAGATAGATATGTGCGCGTGTAGACTATGCTATATTATCTTATATCCTTATTTTCACGTTTATATAATTGTGCGTGTTTGAATCTGAAATGAACTCGCTTACATTTCATACGTTTGTGTGTCTCTGATATTTTGTTCCAATAAAATAGGCGTTGGTCGCTATTTCTGTTTCATGACTCAGTTGTATATTCAAATCGTCTTTTATTAATTTTTATACTTTCTAGATTTCCACTCTGCCCCTAGTAAATGTTCTCATGATACGCTTTTTGTCCTTATCCTTCAACTCAGCTGCCATTGTCCCGGCCAAAATAGAAAAAGCAAACAGCGGCAAAATTCGAGCACAGACCTTACTTAGAAGCCCATATAAAAAAACGCAACAAAAAATATATATATATATATATATATATATATATATATATATATATATATATATATATATATATATATATTCTGACATTAACTTTTATATGAATTCTTTGCCAACGGAATACCCTTTTCTCATGACTTACAATGTATTTCTATAAAATCATTTAAAATGCGTTTCAATAGTAAAACGTTTGTATTGTTTCCCAATAATAAAATCATTAGAAATGCGTTTACACTATATATATATATATATATATATATATATATGAAAGTAACATCACTCAGCTAAGTAACAAAACTTAGAATTTATTGCATTTACGCTAATAAATATATTTTCATATAACTAACTCTGCGCAGGTGCCTAATAACTAAATATTTATAAAAAACAGACTATAATAAAACCTAAACTGCCTTTATAAAACCACTCATAGACGGGAACGTGTCGGCTAGTATAGATTTTTTCTTTTCTTCATATTATATATATATATATATATATATATATATATATATATATATATATATATATATATAAATATATAATTGGTGTATACGGAATGAATTCTGTAACCAACAATTATTATACTTAAAAGAGTGCTCAATACAGAGTAGCACTTGATAAGTCACCGGAGGTGTTTGAAACAGAATGGCTATTTTTGTAGTGATTTTATAACAAATTTTATGTTATGATTTTTTAAATAAATAATTATATATATATATATATATATATATATATATATATATATAGTAGACCGCTGTGTTGTATACATTCGTATGTTGTGACGTAGCTTTTCTTTTCCAATTTTAGTGTACTGTGACTTTTTTTTTCTCTCTACATTGATCCCTATTGGGAAAATAGTTTCGGTTTACAAACATTTTGGATTACGAACGGCCTTCAGGAACGACTTAAATTCGTGAACCGAACGTTCTCCTGTATACGCTATTTTTATGTAAAAAGTTAACAGCTGTTGAGTATCTCCCCATTCACATTTATACAGTAGTAAATAATTTATGTTGGTTTACAGATTCGTCTCCAGCTGTGCTGGTTAAACTCTCTGCCCCCGGGAGACGAGGCTATGTCGAAGGGCAGAGTCTTGTCTCGGGAAACAGCTTACCCGACCCCGTTTTCTATGGGGTCTACGGGGAATTTTTGAACGAGCCCACGGGCTCGGATACCCGACATTAATTTCGGCCTTGTGTCACATCTGACCGCGTGGGGGTGGTTGGTAGATATCCTGCAGTTGAAGATTCATTGTGGTAGAACAAATCATGGCTGCTTCACCCCGACAATCTATCTGCACACAACGCCATGAGCATCCGGTACTTCCTTTCTGATAAGAACATTGCCGTACTGGAACAAGCTCATTATTCATCTGATCTGGCTCCGTGAGGGTATCGGCATCCAAGAAGAATCCATATAGCTGTGTATGGAATGGAAAAGAGCATTAGACTCTATGAGATTACTTTGAAGGAGGAACCGTGTAGTTAGTTGATTGGAATTGAACTAAATTCTTTGTGAGACTAGTCCCGTTACCTTTCAGACAGTCCTCGTATAGCATTTTACACATGAAGATAGATTAAGCAAAAGTTGCTCAAATCTTTAAGAGGTAATCGGTTAATTTCGTCGTTGCTATTATTATTATTAGTATTAGTACTATTATTATTATTAGTAGTAGTAGCAGTAGTATTAGTATTAGTATTATTATTAGTATTATTATTATTATTAGTAGAAGTATTATTATTATTGTATATTTGTACTTAGTGAAGTAATAAATTAGTATAGAAAAAGGTACGGAACATTCGAAGTCGAGGATGGCTCCATTTTTGGCCTATAGTGTATATATATATTAATCCTATCTATCGGCGTACATAAGCCATTATCAAAGAGGACAATTACATTACAATATATTAACCAATACAATGAGCTGCGGTGCGATTTTCGCTTCCAGCGTCTCGTATGCACGAGTTTGTCGTTGCTTGAAAATCTTCCATGTAAGTATAAACAGACTATCATTATTGTTTTGTCCGTGTATTGCTTAATGTAATTGTCATCTTTGATAATGGCTATAGTATAAATAATTCTATTCTATTCAGGAATGTTGCTATTTGTCCATACAACTCGAGAATCTTCTCTTGAATTCTTCAAAGGTCAGACTTAAACAAGAATTTGGTCCACCTCCTGCGAAAAATAAAACATTTATTATCTTTTTTCATTTGCTTTCTACTTATAGAATGCGAAAACCAAATTAAATTATCCGTCAGTTTTTGCCTGTATGGGTAAACTAGCTTTTCAATACATCATGACATTATATAGAATCTTAATAATTAAAATAAAAAAAAAATACTTGAATCTTCTGTGCACCGTGTCCCTTCAGGACGTTGACGATCATGGCTCTCCACATTTCCTTTGGTTTGTAGCTCTTAATAAATGTTGTCTCTTCTAAACTTTGTTTTGCTGTCCATTTATAAAAGCTCGTTCTTCTGTGTGTCATGTCCATTCAGGACGTTGGTGATCATGGCTCTCCACAATTTCTTGTCCTTTTTAGCTCTTAATAAATGTCTTTTTGCTCTCCTAAACCCTATTTTGTAACTCGAAGAGGAAAAAATGACATAATCAAGATGTTGACATTCAACACAACTTCAAATTAAAGATTAGGAAGGAAACCTCCGTCAATATTGGAAAGAGTGATAACTGCTACTGGACTTGGAAAACCTATTTTCCTGAAAAGTTGTTTTAATAGAAAGATTTTATAAACTGCAATCAAAAACATCAATAGTTGCTCGGATAACGAATAGTAAATGTTTCCGTGTAGGGAAACATTTATTATTACCATTAACATCTTCAATTTCAAATTAGTATATTGAGCTGTTCCTTTTTCTAAAAAAAAAAACATGCATTCTGTCTTTTTGCAATTGACGTTTCGACTGGATGATAATATAGAATTTTTCAAACTTTCGTTTGTCGATGACATTACTTACCTCTATTTAAATATGGGTCCGAGTGACTGTTAATGTCTGGAAAAATATACTTGATTTTTTCAGTCTTGAGTTATATAATTTTCATTTTCTATTTTTGAATACGAGGTACCAGCTGTTGTTTGAAGGAGGCAAAAAATTTTTTTTTTTGTTTTTTTTTTACGAGGTGGGTAGGTATAATGAGTTATTTTTCTTCTACATTCACTGTTTCTGTTTTTGGCAGCCATCTGCTTTCTGCTTCCTGTGAATTTTCTGTGATGGCGTTTATTCTGTTTCTTTTTCTTCATCATTCATAAGATTTTCGAACTTTTTTCTTTCACTTTCCTGTTATTATTTTTGGTTATTAATTGTTCAAATTAATTATGGGTAAGTGTTTTCTTTTTCTTGTTTCGTTTTCTTTATTCTTCCCTTTCTCTTCATCTTTTTCATGTTTCTTTTTTTTCTTCTCTTTCTCGTTATCACTTTCTTGTTTCTCTTTTCTTCTTCCCTTTCTAAGCGTCTTTATATTTTTCTTATTTTTAAATCCTCAGCCCTTTCTAATAATCTTTTTTGTTTCTTTATTCTTCCATTTCTCTTCATCTTTTTCTCGTTTCTTTTTTCTTCTTCCCTTTCTTTTCATCTGTTTTTGTTTCTTTTTCTTCTTCTCTTTCTCTTCATCGTTTTCTTGTTTCTTTTTTCTTCTTTTTCCCGTCATCATTTTTGTTTCTTTTTTCTTAAATTCTTCTATTCAACGTTTTCTTGTTTCGTTTTTCTTCTTCATCTTTTTTTGTTTCTTTTTTCTTCTTCCCTTTCTCAAAAAATTTTTTTTTCTTTTCCCTTTCTTTTTCTTTTTTTCCCTTTCTCTCCATCTTTTTTGCTTCTTTCTTCCTTCTCTTTCTCTTCATCGTTTTCTTGTTTCTTTTTTCTTCCTTTTCCCTTCATCATTTTTGTTTTTTTTTCTTAAAATCTTCTATTCAACGTTTTCTTGTTTCTTTTTTCTTCTTCTTCCCTTTCTCTTCATCTGTTTTTGTTTCTTTTTTCTTCTTCTTCCCTTTCTCTTCATCTGTTTTTGTTTCTTTTTTCTTCTTCTTCTTCACTTTCTCTTCATATTTTTGTCATTTCATTTTTCTTCTGCCCTTTTTCTGCATCTTTTAATTATCACTTTTTCATTATTCTGTCATTTCTCATCATCTTTTTCTTGTCTCTTTTTCATTTCATTCTCTTTCCATCATTCTTTCTTGTTTCTTGTCTTCTTCTCCTTCACATCATTTTTCCTTCCTTCTTTTCTTCTTCTTCTCTTTCCCATCATTTTTCCTTCTTTCCGTTCTCATTGTTTCTTTCAGGATTCTTTTTCTTCTTCCCTTTCTCTTTTTCATTCTATTATTCCTTGTCTTTTTATCTTTTTTTGGTCTTCATCCTTCTTTCCTTTCTTTTTTTATGTTTTTCTTTTTTTTCTTCTTTTCTTTCGCTTTATTTTATCATGTTTCTTCTTCTTCCTTTTCCTTTCTTTCTATCTTATTCATCTTTTTCTCTATCCCGCCTTTAGCAGGGACAGAAAGAAGATACACACACACACACACACACACACACACACACACACACACATATACATATATATATATATATATATATATATATATAACAATAGTAATAATAATAATAGTAATAGTAATAAATCAAGAAAAAACTTAATGATCCATTTCGGCTATATTTCGTATCTTTAAGGTTTTTCCGTGATTTCTATTATAATGCTCTGTAATGAAAAGTATGCTTATTCATTAGTTGGATATAAAATAAATTAAAAATATCTGTTTCCCTCCTATATATATATATATATATATATATATATATATATGCATGTTTTGAACAATAAAAAATATTAAAAAATTCAAATCTTCAGACACACTGGGTTGTGTTTTAATATTCTTTCGTTTTTATTATTTCATTTACATTTCTCGACTAGTTTCGGCCAACATGGCCATCATCAGGGGAAAAATTTTTCTGCTTGTTAGTAGCAGTGAACTACAGAAATGAATGTCTTGATGAAGAAAATGAACTTTTGTCTGTAGTTTTCATTTGTTGTTTTTATTTTTTATTTTTTTAACATGAATTTTGGTCAGTACTTGCGTTAGCTAAACAAACTGTTTTAAGTTGTTATCTATCTATCTATCTATCTATCTATCTATCTATCTATCTATCTATCTATCTGTATATATATATATGCTGTTATATATATATTTGTTTTATATTTGTATATATATATATATATATATATATATATATATATATATATATATATATATATATATATATATATATATATAGAGAGAGAGAGAGATGCCTGTATATTCTATAGTTTTGCGCCCGTGCGTGTGTGGAGGGGAGGTGTTGATTTCTGAAAGGGTTACGTGTATATGAAAGCTTCTCGTGTTAAAGCTGGTCAAAAAATTCTTTCTAACGTTTTATCGTGCGAAACGTTTCTCTAAAGCAATCCATGTTGATTTCTATTTGCTTCCTGTTTTCAACCATCTTTATTCGTGTTGTCGTTATTGTTTTTACTAATGCGTCATTGTCTGCCTCCCGATCACATCAAAATCTCTTCAGTTCTTTTGTTTCTTCTCTTCTTGGATTTAGTAATTCTTTCGCTTCTAATTTCCCAGAGCCAACGAGAATTGACACGTTATTTCCTTGCTTAACGGCAACCTCTTGTCTTTTGTTGGTCTCTTCCGCACATTGTACATCCTGTCAGTCGAGAAAGGTGAAATATTTCTGTGACGCATGTTTCAGACCTGCAAACGCCATCACAAATTGTTCTCATTCCATGAATATTGGAGATGTATCTTTCAGGATTACCGAATTTATTGTTGTAACACACACACACACACACACACACACACACACACACACACACACACACACACACACACACACACATATATAAAGTATTGAAACGGCAGGGCCAATTCCTTTGTTTTTGTTGTTCACTAAAGATATTTGTGTTTAAGGTCAAAAGATGAATATGAAACAAGAGTTCAAAATTTAAGTTTTTATTTCCTGATATTTACATTTATATGTGTTAAACAACTTAGGTCATACCACCTTTTGTTTGAATCGACCCATTTTTCAAGTGAACAAAACTACTGGAATACGTGACTGCTTGGTATTTCTTGTTGCTCAGATGTTGCCTTTCGATTGATTGTTTAAACATTAAATAGCTCTGAATATTACTTTTATTACTGAATATTACTTTTATTTTATTATATAAAATACTCTTGGTTATAACCTTGAGTTTCACCTGTAAAGACTGTATTTCTTGTTAAAACGGATAAACCAACATGAAGACGTTGTCTACGGGAGAAAAGCAAGTCATTTCGAAGATGATCAAAGAAGATATAATCGATCAGAGCCATTGGATAAACATTGGGCATAACCAACACAACCATTTGGAATGTCATAAAAAAGAAAGAAACTACTGGCCTACTGAGCCACAGATATAGAACACGTCGGCCAAAGAAAAAGAAACAGCAGTTGATGACAAAAACATTGTTAGAACTGTGTGGAAAAAACTCAAAACAACAGTCAGTGACATCACTAACAACATCCAGGGTTCAGGGACAAAGATTTCACAATCCCCCGTTCAAAGAACACTTTGGGTGCAGAAATATAGAGGCGATGCCACAATATGCAAACCACTCATCAACAGTAAGAATGGGAAGGACAGATTGGAATTTGCAAGAAAGTACAGAGGTGAGTGACAAAAGTTCTGGAAGAAAGTTTTATGGACTGATGGTACCAAGATTCAATCCCTACCAAAGTGATGGAAAGGCTAAAGTGTAGAGAAATAAAGGATCTGCTCATGATTCAAAGCTTACAAGATCATCTGTGAAGCATGATGGAGGCAATGTTTTGGCTTGGGATTGCATGGTTGCTTCCAGAGCAGGCTCATTCATAATTATTGATGGTATAACTCATGATGCTAGCAGTAGAATGAATTTAGAAGTCTACAGAAACATTTTGTCTGCCAATTTACAGAGAAATGCATCCAAACTAATCGGGTGAATGTTTAGCATGGAGCAGGACAATGACCCAAAACATACTGCCAAGACAAGGACTTCATCAAAGGAAAAAAATATGGACATTTTTAGACTGGCCAAGTTAATCATCAGACCCTATATTAATAGAGCCTCTTGAAGAGGATACTGAAGGAAGAACCCCCACCCCCAGAAACAAACAAGAACTGAAAGAGACTGTGTTAAAAGTCTAGAAAAGCATAACAAAGGAAGAATGCAACAGTTTGGTGACGTCACTGGGTCGCAGGCTTGATGTAGTTATTGCTAGCAAGTCTCATGCAACCAAATATTAAATTTTATTTACTTTAAGATGATCTGTTCTTTTATTTTTGATCACCTAAGAAAAGGTGGAGGCTGATTTGATACAAAAGGTGGTATGTCGTCTAAAGTTGTTTAACACATCTAAAATGTAAATATCAGGAAATAAAAGCAGACGTTCTGAACTCTTGTCTCATATCCATCTTTTAATCTTAAACCCAAATGTCTTCAATGAACAACAAAAACAAAGGAATCGGCACCTGCCGTTTCAATCCTTTTTTATGTGACTGTATAAGAGATGAGGATATATTAATTTTTGTTCAACAAGAACAGTTTTGGAGAAATATGTATGAAAAAGTGGAAAAAAAGTTTTCGTGTGAGGCGTTTCGTCGCTTAGGACTTGATCGGACTTGGTTTGCTTACATTGATGCGACTGCACATGCGTATGAACGAGAGACGCTGGGAATTTGAAATTTAGAAAACGTTTTAAAAAATTTCTTTTTATATGTTTTGGGTATATAATCTAGTCAATTTTTTTTTTTTTTTCTTTTCTAGAAACCTGGAGAAGTATAAATAAAAGATTATATCAGCACAAAAGCGGCATTAAAAAAAAACAACAACACATTAAACGCATTAGTTGCTCAATGTAACGTGACTGACCACAATTTTTATATAAAAATGCCACTTAAAAGAGAAAATAATTCACGGGGACGAAATTGCTTTAATCATGAGTTCATCCGCTGCAAATTTCCGTTCAGGTTCTTTTTTGTGATTTGAGCAAATAATTTAGCCATTTTTATTCCGATTCTTTTTCTTTTTATTCACATCATCTGTCACGGGCACATTTTCTGAGCACTAAAAATAACTTTGGCTTTATACTAACTTTGATAGCGCTATTGCCTTAGCCCCTGAATAATTATTCTCAGTTGAGCACTTTTGCAGATTTTTGTTTCTGGTCCACCACTTTTTCACAGCATTCAATTCTGCTATTATATTTTCGAAGATAAATAAAACAAAGCAAAAACAATCTTTCATCAATATGGAACCCACATAGTTTTAACTACTCACTGAAAAATATACCATCATAAAACCTACATGTCTACAAAGTCTAAAAAAAAAGAGCACTTCATGTAACGCATAAGATGGAAAGTATTTTATGTCAACGACAAAGACAATGGTGACATCCACAACATCACCGATAACACCAATATGAACAAATTTGGATTTATATCAATGAAATGCCCACCACAATAAAAGGAACTCTTTTTTGAAAATGACTTACCAAGAATAATCAATAATTTGGAAATAAGAAAATTAAACAATAATTTACAAAAAAGGCTTGAAAAAGATAAAAAAATAATTAAATCCAGGATAATCTATAAAATGGAAACGAACAAATAGAATAAACGAGTCCATATAGAAGTCACTAAATTTTACAAAACCCTTAATAACGAAACAGAAAGTGATATAAAGAAAGAAGCTAAAAACATAGCCACTAAACTAAAATTAGTCAATAGAATCAAACAATTAGCAAAAGTAGAACGATTTATTAAATCAAAAGATCATAATGACAACTTTACGACCTTACTATATATATATATATATATATATATATATATATATATATATATATATATATGTGAGTGTGTGTGTGTGTGTATGTGTGTGTATGTATGTATAGCTAGCCAATCCCTATTGCAGACGCTTGCTCAGTCCCATTTGTGTTTATTCAACACCCACAGAGCCCATATTTATACTGCAACTATGCTGAGAAGACCTTCGTTACAGTTTCTGGGAAAGAGCGTGTTATCTAGCGTGATCAACATTTCTGAACAAGGCCAGCACGATCAAGCCCTCAGCCACGATGACTTGTGGCTTTGTGTTAGCACAGCTATCGACGACACTCAAGAGTTCCGCCTACCGAGTTTCACTCACAAGACTTAGGTCAACTCGTGGTATAATTTTCAGGCACTTTCTCCAAATGTGCCGCACACTGGGATCTAATCATCCAGTCTGATAACATCAGGAAGTCTCCTTCCAGATAAATCAACTATAATGATATATATATATATATAAATGTGTGTGTGTGTATATATATATATATATATATATATATATATATATATATATATATATATGTATGTGTAATTGTATGTGTATATATATATATATATATATATATATATATAAGTGAACATTGAAGTCAACACTTAGAGGCAACAGGATGTTTCATGCGAGACGCAATCGTTTATAAAGTGCTGTTATTTTTCTCAGCTATTTCTATCTTGTTTTCTTTAAGTGTTGACTTCAATGTTCATTTTTGTATATATACACGTACTATCTCTGATATTGATCACTTTATCCCATAAATATAGTACGCCTTAAGAGTATATTTTCTTCATATATATATATATATATATATATATATATATATACATACATATATATATATATATATATATATATATATATATATATATATATATATAAATAAATAAATATGTAAAAATAAATCAAGGAGAAAACCTTAAAGATCCATTTCGGTTATAATTTATTTAGTAAAATATTTCTATATATTTATCGCTTCAGACTGAAAGCTTTTAATAAATGCAGACAATTTCCCCGGACTGATATACAAATTTAACAGTGGGAAGGAAATCAAAACAATTGGTGAATCCTTGCCTTCAGTTCATTTTTGGTGTTACAAGGAGTTTTGTTGGTCTGTTGCTCAACTACGTCAGACAAACATTGTTTACAAAGGCACATGACAATTGGCTATTTTAAACAATTCACAGGTTGTTAAGTAAAACTTAGAATATGTTGATAAAGGGATCGCGGCGGTGACAGATGTAGAGTCCTATTGGAAGTCTCCAGTATGAACTGTGCTCAGAGGTTGGGAAGGGTAGATGGCCGTCTATGACAACACCTACTGGGTTAATTGTTAGATTCGTATCCTCCCTTCATAACAAAGCAGCACGTTTTAGGATGTTTTCCCCTCGTAGGGGAGAGGTCAAGATAATACGACCTCAAATTGTTAGTTTGTGCTTTTACCTGATCATTAAGTGCAGATGTCTGGATATACCCCTCCCACAACAAAATTTATTTATATATATATATATATATATATATATATATATATATATATATATATAATGTCATTTACAGATATATATTTTGGGTTATATCTGAATTTTTACACACACACACAGGCATCGTATAACAGTAAAATGAACAAATCGTGTAACAGTAAAATTGCCCATTTGTTAGATTAAGCTTTGAACCGTTGTATCTTAGAAATGATTAAAGATATCTTACTGGAATTCTCCGAGGTTTTTATATAACTATTGAACTCTACTTTGAACGATAAG